CCTTCATATTTTTCTGACACAAAATATGTAAGACATTTTCTGCTTCCGAGATGTTTCGATAGTTTGATGTCTTCCAAAGTGAAGTCAGCGTTCACTCAACACCATTTTGATTGGCGGATGACGACACATGTTGCCATATAAAAGCAGCTCAAGATTGCAGATATAAAATGATAGAAATAGAAGTTCCAGTTTCCATCTGTTCAGACATTTTTTTCAGCAATACGGTACATGTATAACAATGTAATCACCACAGTTAATGGTAACTCCTAAAAACAATGACATGGTCATTTGTCAGTGATGAATGCTGAAAGCATAATGATCAGGTAACTGGTGTCTCAAATGTGCCTTCCATGTAATCTTAAAACGTAAGAGCAAATAAAACCTTAGCTTTGGCAACGTGTGACAAGAGTCTAGAGTCTAATCATTTTCAGTCTCCTTCTCCTTCTCTCAAGTTCAGCTCACAACACTCCTGATGGTATATGGCTTATCTTATGGAATAATCGTAACACAAAAGCCACAAAAAGTCCAACAAAGTCAAACAATCTCAATGTGAGTCATCTGGTGCTCGCCGAACTGGGATCAATATGTTTTTGCGCATTATGCACGCATCTCACTTGACGTTATGCATGAAATAACAAGACAGGGGCATGTTGTCTGTGTTTGTGTCGTATCCGAGTTCGGTTTGTCCTGTTCTATATCTGCTGTTCCTGTTAGTGGCGTCAACAGATGTTGATGTACGGTGACTTCCCCTTTTCTAAAGATAAAGGCAAGATCGGTGGCCACAGCTCTGGAAATATCTCATTGGGCGGAGATCTGTTAATTCATTTAATACTGATCGTATCTGTGTGTGACTGTGTGCAAGTAACAAGAAATATTCTTTGTCTCTGTTACATTGACTGAAAGTGCATTTATGGACAACCAGATACTAGGAAAGCCTGTCACGGATGGTACCAGAGTACCTGGAGAAAACCCACGCAGGCAGGAGAACATGCAAACTCCAAAATGTTTGAATATCACTCAATTAGAGGGGACAACAAATTGTGACCCTGTAAAAAATTTTACTCAATTTTACCGTGTACATACTAGAAAGAAAGAAAAGCAGTGTATGGATGATAGATCTGGATGGGCACTGCTCCCCTTGCAAACCCCCTTCTGTTGAGTTGCCACGGGCAGATATGGAAATATGGAAATGCTGATGGACAGTTTTGAAAACCAGGATATATTTGCAGTGTTAAGTTAAAACAAAGGTCAATTAGGACTGTGTTGCTTGAGGCATTGTTGGTACCTTCTGCAAGAAGGGATACGAGTCAATCAAGAGCCGTCACGTTGATGTTATTCGGATTTCAAAGGGAACCTAACTTGTGATGCCTCTCAGCTACTGAAATGCATCTCTTTTGCAGACCGAGTTGTTGTATACATGTCAACATCTTCACATTTAGATCCCGTGCACGCGCCTCGCCTCCGGGGCAAGTCATGTGCTGTTTACTGTACATTCAGTGCTTGCAAAAACGGTGCACAATCACTCACACACACACACACACACAGACACGTCAACGCATGCAAAACCATGTCACCCCCAGAACGCTTGCAGAGCTAACTCAAGCCGACTGACCATCCATTAAACAAAGAAACAAGGCAGCTTGGCTCCACAACAGAGACTCACTCGGAATTGTATCCAGCTCAGCATAAACTGGCCGTTAACGGCATCTTCTGTATTTATAAAAGCAAAGAGAGATTTGATAAACATTTCACTCCGTGCTGCAAAATGTCCTTTGAATGCCTTCGAGTGTTTCAACTGATAGTTGCCTTTCACTCTCACTACAACGTCTCGGTGCTGTTATAAAAGGATGCGTGCAACTGCTTTGTTCATATTTGAGGGCACATTTGCTGTTAGTGATGTCTGTGCCGTTACGATGATCTTCCTGTGCCTTTCAGTGACCCAGTTCGTTTCCCATCCAAAAACGATTGCATATATTTACACATCATGCTTGATAAGACCGATGACGACATGAGGTGTGACATCCGGATGTTTCTTTGAGGAGCCTTCAGCAATCGCAGGGGAGGCTACTGCACTCGCTCGCCTGAATTATCATGCATATTTGCTCCTCCTTTTGTTTCTACAAATGTAACCTCCTGTGACAATCGCACACAAAGGATTTGTTGAACTTCATAATTCAACTGCTCTGTCCCCCACATCTGGGTCAGCTTCTCCTTTCCATTTCTTGTACTGTGCCTGTTGTAGTTACCATTATTTTCAGGTGTTTTTGCACCTGCAGAAGCACATCTTGATTGGCCTGCTCAGCATGCCATATCCGAGGCTAGCTTTCCTGGTGGCATTCATTAAAAATAAGCCTTTGGGGATTCTTCAGTGTTATTTTGACTTCCGCTTTGTTCTGAGCATCTTTCATCACAGTCTAGACATTTTATATTTGGCCAATCAATATTCAAAGTTCCAGACGAAAAATGCTGCATGCGAGTCAGTGAGTCCAAGATTCTGAACAAAGTGAACATGAAACTGATTGTTAGGAGAGCTCCAAACTGTTAACTTACAGAAGATAAGTGTTCCACTTGTGGGTTTTACTTTTCAAATGCTAAGATTTGTTTTAACCACCCCACAGGAAGAGAGAGGCTATTGAGGAAGTGGTTTTGCAGTGAAATGTGCAAGAGGTACAAGCATAACATTGTTGGCTGCTTTTGACCTTGAAAAAAAAAGACCAGTCAACTTGACAGATAGTTATCTAATCGCTGTCCTTCATTCTGCTTGCTATCTAGACCAGACTAAGACGTATAATGTATAGGCACAACAATTGTATGCTATTCAATTCCATGGCAGAATGTTTCAGAAACCCGTATAGCCATCTGTTGTCATTCAGACAAAAGAATAATTAAATTCCTGGCTTCATACCGAATGTCAGCTTTGTATTCAACTAATCAGGCCGAGAGTTCACATCGACTAAGTAAATTGGTGTCTAAACGGAGATGAGATCGTCATTACTTCAGTTTACTGTGTATACATTTTGTGACATTGTTGTTCGGTGGTGTACTGAGAATTTTTCCAATGTACGGTATATGCCTTGGCTCAGTAAAAGTTGTCACACACTGATCCCGGTGACATTAGCAGAGATAAAATGACATTAATGTTCCAGAGTCATTTAGTGAAACAAATGTGTGTTAAATTATTCCACTGGCTAAACTTCCTCACAAGCTGGAGTGACTATCCTCCAGGATAGCAAAATTGGTCTGCCCAGACCAATTTTGCTATCTGGGTCAGCTAAGTGGACCCATCTATGGCAGTTCGTCATTGGCCGCCCTGTTCACTCTGAACACAACACATGGAGGATCGCATGAATGACAACAATGTTGTGATTTTCAGGCTGCATTAAGGTCTAAAGCCACTCAAAGCCACAAATGTGCAAACATATTTTTCACATGAGTTGCAGCAATGTGTAAAAAGCCTTGGCACACTTCCTGTTTGCTCAAAGCTTGTAAGGCAGTGCCATGGTAACAGTGTGTGTGTGTGTGTGTGGGGGGGGGGGCAATCAACAAGAGAGATCAAAATCTGGCATCTAAATTCAACTTTAAACACGAGCCTTTTACAAGTCAGGATGTGATCTAAGGCCATCGCTGGTTATGAAGTGTGCTATTTTTTTCCCGAAGAGACTGGCGTTGACATTAACTTCCATACGCATGTGAATAGGTGTCACTGCGGGAACACAGAATACATTTTTTTTAAATAATAAAAAAAAAACAACAGATGTTATGCGTTAAAGTCTCACCACATTCCATTTATGGCCCTGGATCTCAGTTCAAATGTTGCCCAGGTTACGAGGTTACGGCCTTGGTGTGATGTCACTCTTGGCCGCCGGTTCATAATAACAAACATGCACAATGAGGTTACAACCCGATAAGGTTTCCATCTAGTTTAGTCATCATTGTGAGAAAAAACAAATGGAGGGTCTCTGACCAGGTAAAGTCAAGTCAAGATACAGGAAACCAGGTCTACACTCTGTATCTGTATTATTACTTCAATCATCCCAACTCTGTCATCTGGGGTCATTGACTGTGAAGGCACTACTTCTTCCCATTTTTCATGCATCAGATAAATCATTGACTAATCTGTTCGTAGCATAAGTTCACACAAGTCCCAAAGAACTCACACTCATTCCTTATCAAGCAATAATTCATTTAAATGTCTAATAGACAGAAACAGGAAGTAATATGACTCACAGTCACCATCCGGTCGCAGCGCACATTTTTAGCGCTTTTAGGTTGAATTTTATTGCTGTCCCAAACCCCAATAAGAATGGCATTGATCCCACTTGGCTGTTTGTAAGACAAACTAACGACTTAATGAGTCTCCGCCTCTTCAGAGAGACAAAGACAAAAACTAAATGCACTCAAATTAAAATCACATCACCTCAGATGGATTATGAGGATAAGTGGAAAAGAAAATGGTTGGTTGGATGTTTTGGGTAGGTGGCCCAGTGGCCGACTGGTTAGCGCATAGGTGTCAAACTCAGGTCCTAGAGGGCCGCTGTCCTGCATGTTTTCCAAGTCTCCCTGTTGCAATCAATGTCAGGCTTCCACAGAGCTTTCTGATGATCTGATCATTTGAATCAGGTGTGTTGCAACAGGGAGACTTGGAAAACATGCAGGACAGCGGACCTCCGGGACCTGAGTTTGACACCTATGGGTTCGCGCATCGGCCTCACAGTGCAAAGTTGCAAGTTCGGCCTACTGCCCGAGGGTAGCTGGGATAGGCTCCAGCATGCCCCGCGACACCTGTGAGGATAAATGGATCAGAAAAAGGATGGATGGACGGATATTTGGGGTAATTTGTTTTGTTTTTGATCATCACGTTTTGTATTGATGAAATACAAATAAATAAAATAAAAATAAATCATCAAGAATGTTACATAAATGTATACAGTATTCAAAACTACGAATACAGTACCGGTAATATGTTCTGGAAGGGTCACTTTTCTGTGTCTGCTTCATGTACCTGCTCAGCACGATGGGAGGGGTTGGACTTGATGGGAGGCGTTTCCATTCAGCTTTTACAGACACTTTTTTTTTTTTGCACGCCCAGGCAGCTGTTTGTTTTAGTCTCTGTTTGGGCACGGACGTCTCTCTTGAGATGTGATGAACGCAGCCGACTCTATGAACGAAACAAAACGGGATCGTGTTTATTTGCGCGTGGCGGCATTAGGACGCAGGACAGCAGTCATGCTTATTTGTTGTGTAGTGGGACGCGGAGTCAGGACAAATTAGTATTAATTGTGCTCAAGTCTCACGCTGAAAAAGCGTCCGGGCTGCACACTTCATTGTGACCATGCTGGAATGGCTCGTGGTCCTGTGCGCAGCGGTTCTGATGTTCATAATCTGGTCCAGTTCCAAAGTTTCTGGTACCGAGAAGCGTAGGAAAACTGCGCCGAAAGGACCGGACAGTCCAATGAAAGACGACGACCGCAGTCGCAGCGTGAAGCTCATCTGCAAACCTTCCACCCTGGCCAACTACCTCCTGAAGAACTGCACCTCTTTCAACAGCTACTCGCCGTGGGTCGGATGGACGTGGCGGACCAACGCCGTCCTGCAGAGCTTGTACGAGACGTGCTGGTCCTACGGCAGCCCGGTCCACTTTGTGCGGGACAACCTGCAAATGAGCGATGATGGACTGGTGGCGTTGGACTGGGCTTTTCCTTCCTACCAGAAGAGGCGAAGGACCTCCAGCCATTCCACCAGCCCGGTCCTTCTCATCATTCCCAATTCGTTCGGCAAGATCACCAGAAATGTGCTGCAGGTAAAGTGGAATTGCTGCTGCTTGAGTGGTCTAACCGTCTTAGCATTAATACAATTGCACGACAGCCAATACAATAGCTGTGCTGTAGGTGCAATGCATTAATATGATTTCCGTCTGCAGTGGTGTAGACTAGAGCTGCACTGCATTATGTTGAGGACAGTTTCTAATATTTTGATTCTCTCATGGTGCTAAATAAAAGGGAAAAGACCAATATGTGATGCCAGTCCAGTTACAACAACAACCACAATAATAAACTTTATTGATGAAGTCAATACACTATGTCAATCAAAACTCATCTTAATTATATTCCATGTATTCATGCGGAGTTTTAATTGATGCCCACGGAGAGCTATTGATTTAACAGCATTAGTACTGAGATTTATTATCGTTGGAAAGTTTGGGATATAGCCCTCATGCTGAGACTAATTATAGTGTACTGGTACACAATAAAGGGGCGGGCTGTTAAGAATATGTACAGGACATCATCAGAACACAACCACACAATGAAATTATGACTGATTGCGGAGAGTTAAATTTAATTGGGTAGCTTTATAAATAAATATATAGAAAGTAGTACAGCTAATGAATGACCAGCCAAGTCCATTATAGAAAAATACAGTGCAGCCTACCGTCTGACAAAATTGTTTTCATTCTGTCATTGGAAATGTTGTACTTATTTAAAATGGACATGGCTAAGTGTTTGCTGTTGGAAGGCATTCTGTGTCATTTTAATGCCAATGTTTACGAGCCCAGTGGAATAGAAATGAGCAGATGCAGAGGCAGTGTCAGTCATTATACTGTTCTCCCAATACACTCACTGAGGTAATTGAATGAGTAAATATAAAGCATCAATTGACTTGTGGGGACCAAGGGAAGGGTTGCATTGCGTTGAATAAAGGGCTGCCAGTTCACACTTTGAACACTTGGCACAATGCAAACTCATTACCTTTTTATAACATGTACTCTTTATGCAAATATCATGGAAATGTCAAATAAAGGCACGGCAGCAACTGGGTTGAAACAACGACCGAGGAGTGAAAAATGCTGGACACGATGTCGGAAGAGGAATCCAGGCAGTGCTGTATGTTCATTTAAAGTGCCATTTTCATTGTCGTCACTCAGTTTGCTTCAAGGATGAGGCAGCACAAAGGACATACATACACTAAGACTGCGTGTGTGCGTGTGTGTGTGTGTGTGTGTGTGTGTGTGTGTGTGTGTGTGTGTGTGTGTGTGTGTGTGTGTGTGTGTGTGTGTGTGAAATGTCTTTTTTGTAAGGTACTTAAAAAAAGCTGCATGAGGAGGAAATGCTTTCAATCATCGATATTCACTGACAGCGGTCAACCCACATTTTACATTTAAACAAATCATACGTGTTAGAACAGTGTTGTCCTCAACCAATGGTGCAGGGGCACTTGGTACATTTTGTGCATATGTCATCTTGAGTAAGCATGACTATAAGGATGTTTTAGGATATGTTCAAAATACTGATTATTCACTAGAACACGGAAATCTTGATTTTTAATTTTATTTGGGGGGTGGGGGGGTGCTACCGTATATTTAATAATCATCTGCTCATGTTATCTTGGAGAAGCCCATCTACAGTAGTCTCGATGTTCTCACTTAAGGAATGTATCACTGAGCTGAGATTCAAGCCGTTCTGACTGCAAACCGTTGGAAAAGCTGCCTGTCATCATTTTAGTTTGCCTACACGAGCTCAGAGTCGAACAATCAGAGCACTGATGCAGAGCCATCAGCAAGGATCATACAAATATTCCGAACAATATCAATATCTAAACTATTGACAGTTAATTATTGCCACACCAGTATATTTCAAACAGCAAAACATATTGGGAAACCAGAAACAAAGACTCGTTTGGACTGACCTCTAGCAAGGCTTCAACATTCGTGTCATCCAAAATCTGTGTCTTAAAATTAGGTCATCAATTTTCCAACAGATCCAGATTCACTCGAGATTGCCAGTATATGATGGTATCCTACATACAGTAACTGGGAGGCGGTGTTTCGCCCTGGTAGGGTGCACCAAAACCAGCAACCGTTCAAATTCACACCAATGGGACAATTTGGAGTATACACATAAGTGTACACATAAATGTGAAAAATGTGGGAGTACCCGGAGAAAACCCACACAGGCAAATCAACACGGAAAGGCCCAAGCTGGAGTACCCGGAGAAAACCCACACAAGCAAATCGACACAGAATGGCCCAGGCTGAAATTGCAACATGACGCCTTTTGACAGTTAGCTGTCTCAACATCCAACCAGTAACTCACCCATCGCAATTTTTACTTTGGAACTGGGCGGTTGCGATTTGCGTCCTGCTGGCGACTAGATGCTTGATTGCTTCGTTATTCATTTTGTGTGGGTGTGCGTGTGCGTGCACACGTGTGTGTTTTTTCCATTGCTAGGCCCAAGAGCTCAAAGCTATCCCAATGTTTTTGATGCGGCCTTATAGTTTCCATGGATGTATTCATTTAATGAATGTCGAGAGTTAAATAGTCTTGAATTAAAAAAAGGAAACTCCTCCTCCACTACTTTTTCTTTCGAACCTAAATATATTACAGCCAGGACCATCACGACATTATCAACCAATGAGGGTAGGTCACTTTTAAACGTGACGCTGAAATGGAGGTAGAGTACCCTCGTTGAAATATGATATCAACGGTTTTATTTGTGAGCTATTCTTCGACCTCTACTTTTCAGATTCAAAGACATTAGGTCACTTTTAAACGTGACGCTGAAATGGAGGTACAGTATAGTATCCTCGTTGAAATATGATATCGACGGTTTTATTTGTGAGCTATTCTTCGAACTCTACTTTTCAGATTCAAAGACACGCTATTGAAATTAAATGAGTAACAGAGCAAATTAATCGCGCCACGTCAAGCATTATGATGTCATGTGCAGAGGAGTGTTTCTTTTTACTGGTACCTGTCAGGTTGACTATTTTCTCTTCCGTTAAGTTGCATGAAGATGTCGCAGTTTGCCGTTAACCTAGACGGAATTTAGCTTTGCCATCCAAGGGTGTGTACTGCCGCAGACATGTCTGTGATCTCTCATTTGTGTCGACATTTATTCCTGCGGGTGAGCGGCGCAATCTTGCTTTTTCTATTTGGACACTCAAAATGAAGCCGAGTGTGCCATTTCACAGTGAGTTCGCCTCCTTCACTTTGAGCCTCCTCTGTTCGGAGTTCTAGTTCTCATTTCTAGTTTTATATGAAATGTTTTAATGTAGTCAGTAAAATCTTATTGAACATGACGTAGGAAATAGAATTCAAGAGTTTGACCATTAGCTTTTCGTACGTGATGGGTCAACCATTCAAAACTGAAAATTTGACTCATTACGGTACATATTAAATCGTCATGAAATTCTTTCACTCTTCTCAATGCAACTTTTTTTTTTTTTTTTTGATGCAGCAGCTTTTTCTATACTTACTGGGGTGCATTCGTTTGGCCTTTCAGCGTCTGCTGTTTATGTTCTTGCAAAGTTTCCATCATACATTCTGCAACCTATTGAGATAACGGTAACATTTCTGTCCGTGTGTTTTACCTCCGACAGTTGTGTCAAGCAGCCCTTTCCCATGGATACCTCCCTGCCGTCTTCAACCGCCGCAGCCACAACGGCACCCCGCTCACCACTGTCAAACTCCAGCAGTTTGGAGACCCCGCAGACCTCCGAGAGGCTGTGCGGTACATCCGCTACCGGCAGCCTGCCGGCAAACTGTATGCAGTGAGTGAGAGTACGGGCTCCGGCCTCCTCCTCTCCTACCTGGGGGAGTGTGGCTCGTCCAGCTATTTGACGGCGGCCGTCTGCCTGTCGCCTGTCTTTCGCTGCCAGAGCTGGTTTGAGAATGGCCTCTGCTGGCCCATGCAATGGGGCCTGGTGCTCTACCAGAAAATGTGCCTAAGCAGGTATGAAGAGGGGGTGCAGTGATAAGGCACTGTTTCGACTAATTTTCCAAATCGTTTATTTGTAACATTTATATCTAGTTCAAAATGATTCAGGCCCAAATTTGTTGTTTTAAAGGTGAAAATCACAAAAGTACATAACACAGTGTAATGTATATATTTTATTTCTCCATATATATATATATTTTTTTTTTTATTTTATTTTTTTTAATTATTAAAACGTTTTGGATTAAGGCAAAACGTCCCTAGGCTCCTTTAGAATTGCTTGTGTTCTCAAATTTGTCCAACGCGATATAAGTAAATAAAGCAAAGGTGTCATTTATCTCCCCAACATGTACTTACTGGGCTTCCTATAATTACATTCTTATCAGTACCATGAACAAGATGGCTAAATGGATCCAATTTGGTCTTTTTTTCCCAATAGGGGTGCGGTGCAGGGCTAGAACCGTGGCCAGTCATCTCAAAATGTAATCGATCATTTGTTGTTGTTATTTTAATTTATTTTTTCCAGCCACCCGCACAACCTTTCAAAAGCAGTTTCCTACTTTGCAGAGGTCATAACATTCCCACCTAAGTTTTTAGATGAAAACGATCAAATCATCTAGCATTTGCCCAGAAAATGTTTTCTTTACAGTGAGTAGTGCAATCGATTATTTCCGTGTGTTGTACAAAAACCTTATTTATTTTTTCATTAGAACACAAAGCCCAATACAAATCTAGTTGTGCGAAGCTAATGTAATGATGTGTCAGACAAAAAAAATCAATAATGCAGAGGGCATGCAGGATATAAGATGGTCTTGTGTTGGCAGCTGTAAGTATTTAATGAGGCAAGAAATTAAAATATAGCATTGAAGTTTGTAGCTTATTTCTTTCTTTCTTTAACCAGAACAATAACTCAACTATTGTGATAGATATACAGCATAAATCCTGCACAGAATTACATGAAGTGGTCCCTCTTTTTGTTGCGTTCACCTTGGTACTGATCTTATTTTATTGAGGGCGGTAGTGAAATAGACAAAGAAGTCAGCAGAAATCACAATAAATATTAAGACAAGCAGATGTAAACTACCAAAAATATCTACGTACTCCTCATGTGGTTGGAGGCAATTTATTAAGAAAAATTAAAACTCTTCACACTTTAATCACATCGAACATTGCCTTTTTTCCAATGTAGTGAAGACAAAAATCATGAAAATCCGCTTTGCAAATTCATCATATTGACGAACCATTCAAAAGCAAAGCGCAAACAATTTAGAAAGGTTTAGTTGGCAAGGCAACCGATTGATTCGGAGAGACATCGTGACAAGAGAACGGCTTCTGCAATCATTGGCTATTAGCAATTGGAGAGACGTTCTATTGAGCCGCTGCATTTTCTTATCTTGTTTCTCTTTTTGTGTGTCTATGGATGTGCTGTGCTTAGATACAGGACGGTGTTAAGTGCTGCCATACGTACGGACACCCTCTTTTCGACCAATTCCCTTCGTGGCCTGGAGGAAGTTCTATTCTGTCAAAGTGATCAGGTTGACTGTGCATCGGCAGCACCAACAGGGACTTGCGCTTCTTGGGAAGCTTACTGGGAACGCAATGAACCCTTAAGAGATGTGGATGAAGTGGCCATCCCCGTGCTGAGTGTATGCGCTCGGGACGACCCTGTCCGGGGAAATACCCAGGCCACAGTACCCTGGGAACTTTTTGAGAACAACCCGCATTTTTTCCTCCTCCTAACAGACCGAGGCGGCCACTGTGGTTTCTCCACGCAGTGCGAAGGAAGTTCCTCTGTGCCAGCTAACCCAGCGGCGGCACCAAACAGTGGGACGGCTAACCATGAAACCAACTGGAGCCACCGAGCTCTGTTGGAATTCTTCAGGGTGACCACAGACTTCTTTGCTGCGGAGGAGAGGACAAAACAGCTCGCTGCGAGGAGGAAGGGCCTGGGGGGAGGCTCCGGAGGGAGAGTCTTCCGACACCGCAGTGTCAGTACATGTAAACGAGTACCTGCGTGCTCCCATAATATCCATGCCATTTACAACTGGCAGAGGTCATATACGCGGTGAAGGAAATCAATGGAAAAATGACACTGATATGCTTTTGCTGTTCCCAAAACTAGACAACGGAATCTTCCCAGTGTTGTGATTGACATAGTTGACTGTCAAATGATCACTTTTGCAACGTTCCGAGAAAATCACAAGGTCTCGTCACTGGTGAGCTATTTTTTTAAGAGGCAAGCACCAGGTTGGGCACCCCTACCTTAATTTGGATATCAGTGGTCATTTCCTGCAACGTGTCGGAAAATGTTGACCCGATTACATTTTCGACAAAGGTTCAGGGAAGGTGGGAGAAAGATGACATTTGACTTTCCAAAAAGGCCCCATTGACTGACTTCCCACTTCAAAGACCTTGTAAAAGTTGGACTTGATTCGAGAAAGTGACTTTCCGCAATAAAATCAGCATTTCAGCTTCAGAGTCGGGATTGAGTAACAACGTGTAATGTTGGCTACCTTTTGTCGTCGTCGCTGCAAGCTCAAATGCACTCATGCCTGTGGACTTGAAATTGTGCTCCAGCTCTGACCCTTTGACATTTAAATTTCCTTTTTGACATTGAAAAAGTTGGGGAACATTGATGGGCAGCATGTGACCGTGCCTCTTGGCTCACCCTATATCGGTGCGGTTAGCAAGTTCTCTGCTTACTCTGGTTTCCTGTCACTTTCCGCAAACATGCATAGTGATTTACATGAAGATTCAGTGTGAATGTGAGTATGAATCATTGTTTGTCCATATAGGTCCGATGAATGACCGGTGAACAATCCAGTGTAAACTCCACCTTTTGCCAAAAGTATAGCTGGAATCCAGCTCAGCTTTAACCCCGAACAGTGTCAGCGGTAGGAAATTGTTACGTAGTTTGTCGGAAATGTTGGTAGTTTAGTATGTCATCAATGTTTGTCATAAATTCATGATAAATCTCTGTTGGTGCCATCATTATTATTTTATTTTTCAAATACTCGGCAGCCAAACATTGCCCATTCAACAAATTTAAAACGCAACCATTTTAACACCATTGAGATGTTGTTTTCAAATGTATGTTGAATGCAGTCGAATGAATGAAAGGCCAAGACGTTTTAGAATATGGCCGCATTGTTGACTCGACACATGTTCCAGAATGGTTCTGTGTGATACATGTTGACCACTTGATGTGTTTTCGCAACTCTCTCTATTGACCGCATTTTTAAAATAGGACGATGACACATTTGCTCGGTTACAATGCTGCTGTTCTCTAATGCACTTGCCCTTTTCTCAAGGCTCACAAAGATCTTGAATTCTAGCACGGTCCCCATGGCCATTTCATCTTGAGATTGCGTGTACCCACTGAGCATTATCCAGTAAGACAGCTGGAACACAGCAGTACACACACAGCAGTGCCAGCAGACACGATGTCCGCTTGTATAATGACCAGCTTCACTCACACTCACAAGAGATGTCATGCAGGGTACACGAACTACAAAACGCAACCAACAACAAAACAGAATTTGACGTCGGTACAGTAATCAACCGTACTTTTTGCTAACCCCCTAAGTATATATGCAATACCGGGGCGGTGTTTACAATAGAGGAATTCTTGGCTATTTGGGGTGTTTATACCTTAAATAAAACACCAAAGATAATTCTAGGGACAGCAAAAGAGGAAGGCACCCAGACCTAACGTGGAGTGCAAGACACATCCAACTCTTTGGCACTCTGTTTTTTTTTTGTTCTTTGGTTGGAGTAATTACATACTGTACTAATATATTTGTTGAGCACTATACGTATAATGAATATGGACATAGGTGACACAAATCGAAAGCAAATATGTAAAAATAAAACGCAAAGGAACTCCACCCAGGGGAATCCCATCAATGTTTGGATCACAGTCGCTGGACTTGTGTGCGGGCAGCGTGAGGTCAGTGTATGGTTGTTCGTGACTGACTGTCGACCAGTTCAGGGGTCATTCCGTCTTTTGCCCGAAGTCAGCTGGAATAGGCTCCAGCAATTCCTGCGACCCTCTTCACGATGAGCGGTGTTGAAAATTGATGTGTGGATCACTCTACGGCAGTGAATCACGGCCACGGGAAATGATCCTATTTCACTTTAATTCCCAACAACCCTATTTTATTCCTTGGCTTTCCACACAGCATGAGACGTATTTTAGTGCACTTCTTATTTCTTTTATTGCTTTTAACTGTGTTATTGTTTTTAAATGTGTTGTGTTTGAAGTGTAATTTTAAAAAGAGCTCTATGAATAAAAAGTAGAGTTGACTTCACTGGTTTGAACATTAGTTTTTATTGACTACAGTGTCTGAGTACTGTATATCTGTATAATATTGCGCCCGGGTTTTGTAAGTTACTATTGCTGTGCTAGTGTAAACAACCATTTGCAGTGTGGCCCTTTCCAGTATATTTATGAAGTTGGGCACCCCTGCTTCAGATGTCAGCTGCGCAATGTCATTTTCATGCTGTGGTGTAAGAGTGCAACAAAACAATGAATACTGTCACATAATTAATTTCCTGGGAATGAGAAAACAGGCACCGGCAGCAGAAAACTACTGCATTTTGAAATTGTAAATCGAGTATAAGAACATTCAGTTCAGCTAGATTTTATTTCTACGGATTAACGATCATTTAATTAGTATAATCAGCAAGATGAAGCAAACAGAGTGCTCTATTACATTAATATCTGTGATCGTTTAAGCGAGCCTGAATTAATTCCACTGACCTGAATCAACAGTGCTTTTTTCAAATCTAGGTAGAGTAGTAGTAGTAGTAGTAGTAGTAGTAGTAGTAGTAGTATATTTATATTCAAAGTGAAGGTAACGTGACCTACTTGCACCTCCAAGGCATTCAAGCATGTTATTGAATGTTTCCATGGCAACCACCTCCGCTCCAGCAGTGTCCAGAAGATGGCAGCATTGACGAGGTTTCTTCCTGGAACGTTCCATGTGTCAACATTCTCAGACGTCACATTGACAGTCACAGTGACGCAGCTATCTCTGCTTTTGGCTTGGAAAGCGTCCGTATATTTAGCACCTCGTTTAAAATTAGAGCTCAGCACATGGAAGAATAAATTTAGAACTCTGCTGAGTCAAACCGGACTCAGTTCACATGGTCACCAATATTGGGCCGACAGAGAGGCGAGTTCAACTTTGAAAAGCCTAAAGTCAATCATGACTCCTAAAATTATTTGTGTGTGTGTGTGTGTGTGTGTGTGTGTGTGTGTGTGTGTGTGTGTGTGTGTGTGTGGGCGTGTGTGTTTGTTATGCTCATTTAACTTGAAAACATTTCCTTGGTAATAAATAGTTCTGCTTGAATGAACAAAGATAGATCTATTGTTTTCAATATGTCTTCTTGAGCATCTGCCAATTACAAAAGTCACATGTTGAAAGTATGGAAAAATATTTCCAACAGTTTGAAACCTCAATTTTGGAGAATTGTTCACTGTTTGCCAACATACACGCACGCGCGCGCGCGCACACACACACACACACACACACACACACACGAATAAAAATATTACCAACTCGGTGTAAAAAACAAACAAAAAAAGGGAATGTCTTTTGTTCAATAAGGCTTTGCTGAAGAGATGTGTTTTCAATTTCATTTATGAGGAACAATGAATAGCGAGATGTAGGATAAGCAGAGAGAGAAATAGAAGATGACAAAGTCCCCAGGAGATAATGAGAGAGTAAAGGTCTGCCTGGAAAGGGCTGGTGTGCTGCAGAAGAGGGAAGAATTATCCCCGCTACACTCTGATGGCCCGCCTGCTGCTCGCTGGCCTCCATTTCGGGCTGCTTGGTCAGACAACGCAGTGTCTTGGACAGAATAGTGTACTGTACTCTGAACGCTGCACAACAAGAGATTGACACGTGGAAATAAGCAGTAAAACATCACTAACAGAGACTTGAGATGAAAAGAAAGAATGAGAGAAAGACGTCACAGTCCTTGAATTCAGACATGAGTTCGGCGAGGAAAAGATCCTCCTTTCTTATTTTTTTACAACTGCTTCTTCCAGTTACAGTATCCCAACAGTCAATTTATGTATACGCGTGCGCACACACACACACACACACACACACACAGGCTGTATATTCATGTTCACAAACCTGTGTGCCCACTGCAAATATTCTTTGATTTTAATTCCGAAAGCATTTGTGCATGCTCATTTGGGCTGTCATGTTCCACTGGATTATTTAGCTTTCGGTAACTCAAGTTTCGCCCGAAGGAGAGGGTGGTTCCCTGCAAGGAACCTTGAGTCATCAAGACAAGAGGACATGCATGCACATGCTACATGTGAAAACCCAGACAAACACCTATTTACCCTCACAAATGCTCACGCACACACACACACACCATGCCTTAACAAGAATAGAACAACTACATAAGGAGGGCATGTTCCCCCCCACGTTGTCCGATCTCATATTCCTCACATAACCAATGGGGCAAAAAAACGCTCAGCAACTTGTGGACACACCAAGCTTGGAGAATGGCCACACCTTGGATGTAATGTGACAGTTGAGGAATTTGCTGCAGGCAAGCCGCAAATGCTTCCAGCCTGACTTTATACTCCATACGTCACTGGAAAATGGTCCAGTGGAGATACGCGAGTTGATGAGAACTGCGTAGACCATGATTTCTGTCTTTTCTTTTCTTTCCCCCTGCTCAAACGCCTGTTTAACAGTTTCAAATTATGTCGGAACTACAGTATGAGGTCAAACACAATTAGTTCAGGGAGGACAGCTTTTGCAGGTAGATTTTCTTTCGTTTACTGTTAACTTCATGCCACTTTGCAGCACAGCAAGGAGTAATTGCAAGTCACAAATAAGTCTTCAGGAAGTCCCAAATCGCCGTGGAAAAAAATTCAAGCTAGTCAAATCATTACCTGGTTCAAGCAAGCCGAAAATCAAGTGATAAAAACTTGCTCAGTCACAACACATGTTCGAGGCGTAATATAATTTTATTCGCTGATCTTACTACAAAAAATACATTATCCCTACAAATTAAATACACATTGCCGTCAAAATGAAATTTAAAAAAAAAAAAAAAAAAAAGAATTTATAAAATGAATGTCAACACTTAAAGAACATTCATTGTTTTTTTTTTCGGCATGACTGGAACGGATTACAGTAATGGCAAGTTTTGAATTTGGTATGATTTTAGAGCTTCCTTAAGGCACGAGAAAAAGGCAACAAAGTAACATTTCCAACTTTCAAACTCAATTGTTTTGGATTCATTTTAAATGTTGGATGTTAGCTGTTACCGTATAACCAGAGTATGCATGATTTCACTTCAACTTTTACACCGATGAGTAACTTTCATCAATAGGATTCGGGGAATTTTCCTCCACATAAAGATATTTATACTTCCTCCATATGCGACTGGTATCTTGTGATCAAGCAGTGAACATGTGTCATCTAGAGAAACAAAAAAATGACTCATTGTAACTTCCTGAAGAACCAAACCGTAGGCTAAAGTATAGTTCTGTAAACTTGAAATGACTCTGGCATGGTGGTCGACTGTTGAGCATGATCAAGCAGTGAACATGTGTCATCTAGAGAAACAAAAAAATGACTCATTGTAACTTCCTGAAGAAACAAACCGTAGGCTAAAGTATAATTCCGTAAACTTGAAATGACTCTGGCACGGTGGTCGACTGTTGAGCACGTCAGCCTCACCGTGCAGAGGTGCAGGGTTCGATAGATAGAATGCAGGACGAATACCGGATTACTCTGAAATGTATTTCTTTAAAATGAGTATTTTATATTAAGTGCAAATGCTTTTGCAGTTCATTTGTCTCATAATAATCCTTATGGGCAGCACAGTGGACAAGTGGTTATGTCTGCTTCGCAGTTGTGACATTTAGCGTTTGAATGTGGACTCCTTCTTGTGAGGCATTTGCAAGTTCTCTCCGCAATTCTGTGGGTTTTCACTGTACTT